TAAAACGTATCTATCAGAAAGATATTTCCACACCCTTACAATGAATATTTCGTTCTCCTCTCTAACCAATGTAAGATATCACAATCCACTTCTCTTGGAGGCCCAACGTCCTCTCTGGCACATTATCTAGTGTTTTGCTCTAATACCATTTATATCAATCCTCAATAAGAAAAGTTTCGTTCTCCTCTCCAACCAATGTGAGATCTCACAATTCACCCCTTGGAGTCCCAGCAGCCTCGTTGGCACACAGTCCGGTTTATAACTCTAATACCATTTGTAACAGTTCAAGCCTACAGTTAACAAATATTGTCCATTTTGACCTCTTACGTATCCCCGTCACCCTTATAACGAATGTTTCGTTCTCCTCTTCAAATGATGTGAGATCTCACATATATAACTTTGAAAATTCTCAAATTTAATTATAACCTTCCAAACTATCATTTAAGTATAGACGTAACCCTAATAAAATACTGAGTGTAGGGACCAAATTTATATTTAAACTGTACAAAAAGACGTTAATATAAAAACAAAATATTTAAATTTTAAGATATTCGGGACGACCATAGCAACAAACGGCACGTGTATTATTGACAATATTATTTATTCGACTCATATATTCGTTCGTTCGTGTTAGAAGATAAAATAAAATTAGGGTTTTGGTTACTTTAGAGAAATGGAATAGAACCAATAAAAAAATGAAAGTGAATGGTCCTCAAAATTCTCAACATAATTTCTTTTTGGAGAATTTAAAAGGAATCTTAGCTTTAAGCCTTTCCTTATCTACTCAAAAGACCATTATTTTAATTACTTACAAAAAAAAAAACAATATATACAAAGATAATTGGAAGGTGAAGAAGAGAGCCCGAGCCATAAGTGTGATGTCCTACATTTATAAGGGTGTGGAAACCTTCCCTTAGTAGACGTTTTATAGGGTATAGACCTCTCGGATATTGTCCACTTTGAGCATAAGCTCTCATGGCTTTGCTTTGGGCTTCCCAAAAGGCCTCATACCAATGAAGAGTGTATTCTTAGATTATAAATCCATGACCATTCCCTAAATTAGCCGATGTGGGACTTTCATCATCCAACAGATTAATTCTATAAATGAAAATAAAAATCTCGAGAAATATATTCAAAATAAAAGTTAAAGTTAATTTTTTTTTATATATTTTTATATCAAAAAATATTTATTAAATACAAAATTAAAAAAAATTAAAATATTGTCAAAATATTAATTAAAACCACCAAAATGGATGAATAATGATGTAAATCTTATATAATGTTACCTAATTATTTTAAATGGTTAAAAATTTATCCTATTTTTACAGTGTGATGGTTGGCTGTTCACGGACTAGCTGTACCTACCGTTTCTTTTTTAGGATCAATATCAACAATGCAGTTCATCCAACGATAAACCTAATCTGAATTATAGAGCTATGACACAATCAAATCCGAACGAACAAAATGTTGAATTGAATCGTACCGGTCTTTACTGGGGTTATTACTAATTTTTGTACTTGCTGTTCTATTTTCCAATTATTTCTACAATTAAATAAAAGAAAATACTAAATAATAGTACGAACTATCTTATTCCATTCGGATATCATCTCATAATTATCTATGACTGTTTCTGTCTCTAGCACGACTACTTTATGAAATGGGGAGGGAAGTGGGACAAATGGCCGAGACTACTGGAAGGATTCCTCTTTGGATAATAGGTACTATAACTGGTATTCCAGTGATCGGTTTAGTCGGTATTTTCTTTTATGATTCATATTCTGGATTAGGTTCATCTCTATAATAATCGGATGAACTGAGTTGTAGATATGGAAGCGTAAGAACTCAACAGAATCCCCGTCGAATCAGAAAAAAAAAAAGGGTAGGTTCCGTTTAGCTCTTACTAATTAGAATAATTTATTCATATACATGACAAAATGGATCTTTCCGATGTTTCCACAAAACTTATTTCTTTCAGATTCTAAATTGCTTCAAAAAAATTGATCCAGACCATCTCTTTCGCGATAGTATCAGAGAATCACTCCATTCCCTCTGTCTGGATGACACAATCCCAATATAACAATAATATATTTCTATCAGATATTACAAACCCTTTAATATAGTAAAATATACTAATAGAATTTTCTCGAGTTATTTTAATATAAAATAGAATTTATAAATTCATTGAATTTGTTAACTACTTATGTAATAAATCAACAAACGGTTCTGATAAACCGGGAAAAATTGAAACCAAGAATAGGGATCTTTGACGAAAGAATTATTAATTATTTTATTTTTTCTATTCTCCATTTTTAATATCTAATCAAATTTCATTCTATTAGAATAAAAATAGATACATTCAATGACATTTCAATCGGGCACCAGTGACATAATAATACCGTTCTTATTTCCTCACAATATCCATACTATGATTAATAATACAGTACAAGTCATTCCCGAAATACGGTAGAAAAAGAATATAAACAAAAACAAGAAAAAAGTTTTTCATAATTTTGTGATCATCAAACTGTTTCTTTTTAAGAACGGAAAAGATTTGTGCCAAAATAACAGATGCAAAAAAGAACAAAAGGCCTTGGACACGTAATGGATCTTGAAGGACTATTTCCGCATCTCCCTGACCAAATCCTCCCACGTTAGGATTACTCTTACTCGTTAATGGTTGATCCAGTTTGATAGATTCGCCCTCTGAAACAAGAAGTACTGGTTCTGGAGGGATAATATCAACCACTTGACGCTCATTCGATGCATCCACTATGGTTATTTCATATCCTCCTTTTTCTTTTCGTATTATTTTGCTTACTATACCTGCTGTTGTAGCATTATAAACATTATTATTACTCTTACTCCCGTCGGGATAAATCTGACCCCTTCCCCTGTTCCCGACCATTTGTTATCGCTCGCATGTTTTTTAATTGAATTATTAAAAAAGAAAATGTATTTTTATTATTATTTATATTTTAAATATTCTCATTAATGGAGATGGGTACAGCTTGGAGGTTGGGCAGTAAGTATTGTAAATAGTGGCAAACCATTAATTAAAACCACCAAAATAGATGAATAATTATGTAACATTCAAATCATATTTGGACCATAAACTTCCTTTTCAAGCTCTAAACATTATAATTAGTTTAGAATTCGGCATTTAATTATCTCGACAATTTTTTTTAACATATTTATTGAGTTACCGACAAAATATATATATCTTATTGGTATAAATAGCAACTAACGGTACAAACCAACACAAGTTCTTTTAGCATGTTTTGTCCCCATTCATATGTTTCTCGGAGATCATTAGTTCCAGCCGTTCTTAGTTTCAAAGTTTTTATAATTGAGTTACCGATAAGGGAGGTGTATTTTGTTGGTATAGATAATAATAATAATTTTTTTTTTTTTTTTTTTAGTATTTTGTAAGAATCATATCCTTAGAATTACTCGAATGTAGTCTTGATTCATTCATATATATATATATTACGTCAGAAGAAGGATAGCTATACTGATTCGGTATACTCTAAAAACACCCTCGGTACAATATTGACGATCTTACAAAGATAAAATTTCAGTTAATTTCCATTTACTGATCTCATCTTTTACGGAATCGATCCCCTTTTGACTGTACAAGAATATGTGGAGCTCGGCATGTCTGGAAGCACAGGAGAACGTTCTTTTGCTGATATTATCACCAGTATTCGATACTGGGTCATTCATAGCATTACTATACCTTCTCTATTCATTGCAGGTTGGTTATTCGTCAGCACGGGTTTAGCTTACGATGTTTTTGGAAGCCCTCGTCCAAATGAGTATTTTACAGAGAGCCGACAAGGAATTCCATTAATAACAGGCCGTTTTGATTCTTTGGAACAACTCGATGAATTTAGTAGATCTTTTTAGGAGGAACAAATGACTATCGATAAAACTTATCCTATTTTTACAGTGCGATGGTTGGCTGTTCACGGACTAGCTGTACCTACCGTTTCTTTTTTAGGGTCAATATCAGCAATGCAGTTCATCCAACGATAAACCTAATCCGAATTATAGAGCTATGACACAATCAAATCCGAACGAACAAAATGTTGAATTGAATCGTACCAGTCTTTACTGGGGGTTATTACTCATTATTGATATGAACAAAAATATCAATCATGCAATATAAACTTTAAAGAAGATCGGAAGAAAATATTGTTCAAATGATCACAAGATGTTGCAATTTACGCACATTAAAGATGAATCAAGTTTCATTTATTCTTAAATTGTTACAAATTTTGGGTGGATGATAATTTAGAGTTATGATATTTCATTAATGTATTTTAAAACTTGTTATTTACGTTACATTAACTAATTATGACCATAAGTTATACATAGCGGCTAATTATGGTCATAGATAGGAAAGTTACAACTCTTAAAACAACTCACAGAAGGTTATGAGTTTTGAGTATGTATGTTATCTTTGTAAAGACTCGAAAAATATATTGCTTCCCTTTAGGCAAAAGTTAAGTTACGTTGCGCATGTTTAATATCATTCAAACTTGACATGATCAATCTTACTTGTAGAGTTATTCGAATCTCAAAAAATGTTCTTAGCTTCAGATATTCTGTAGTAGCCCAAGTCTACCGTCAACCGATATTGTTTATTTTAGGCTATCATTTGAGCTTCCCCTCAAGGTTTTTAAAATGCATTTTCTAGGAGAGGTTTCTACACCTTTATAAAAAATGTTTCCTTCTCCTCCCGAACCGATGTGGGATCTCACATATTCGATAAACAAAATAATACGAATCTTACTTTTTTGTAGCGATTTCTTATCATTTGGTATCAGAGTTTTTCTTAGTTGATTCCTTAAGTAAAGCAAAGCATTTAACTCTCGGGACGTGGCAGGTGACATTAAAAGCGTCACCCAACCAACAAAACCTTGCATTTATGGCCTTAAAACCTACCAATCCCATCAACATTACTTCCTTCTCTATATAAACCCCACAGTCCCCAACCCATAAGCTCAAACTCTTGCACTAAATCGTCAAGGAGCTTTGATTTGAGTAACACCATGGCGAGTAGTGGCATGATCAATGTCAAGATGGGTTTGGTTGTGGCGCTTGTGTGTGGCATTATTATGGGTGGAAGGGTGAGCGAGGCGGCCGTGACATGCAACCAGGTGGTCAGCGACTTGGGTGCGTGCGTATCATATGTCACTGGTGGAGGGGCGCCGTCTGCAACATGTTGCAGCGGTGTGCAGGACCTGAATAAATTGGCAAGCACAGCGGCTGACCGACAGGCCGTGTGCGGATGCTTGGAATCGCTTGTCAAGGGGGTTTCGTATAATGCTCAAACGCTTGCTAATGCTGCTGCTCTTCCGGCTAGGTGTGGTGTCAAGCTTCCCTATAAGATCGACCCACGTATCGACTGTAGCACCATTCGTTAGGATGTCGTAGCTAAGTCCAGCTGCAATGCTAGTAGACCATGTTGTTGTGTCGTAACTATCCGAGAATAAATGAAGGAAAAGTTTTAAGTATTTCTAAACCAAGGTGATTTCGTTCTATTTTGGTATCTGATCCAAAAACCCTTGTATTTGGTCGTTTTATGCTCGGAATCCAAATATATATTAGTAGTGTTTACTTATTATACCTCGTTTTTTAAAAAATATTATCAGTTAGAAATAACGAATCTTTACAATGGTATGATATTTATCCATTTCAAATCTCTACTCGTATGACTTTTTTTCGAGATTCTCATGATGTTTAGATCAAATCAAAGGAAGATCTATTATGGATACATTTCAGCTCCTCTCAACTTGTTTTATATTAAAAGTTAAGTTTTGAACTGATAGTCTGAGATCTCACATCAATTGGAGAGAGAGGACGTTGAGCCCCAAAATGGGTGGACTGTGAGATCTCACATCGATTAGAGAGAAGACGAAACATTCTTTATAAGAGTGGAAATCTCTCTATGTTATACTCTTTTAAAAACCTTGAGCGGAAATCTGAAAGGAAAAACCTAAAAATAACAATATTTGTTAACGTTTGAGCTGTTACAGATATGATAACCCTAGCGAATTGGATCTAAGAACCCTCGTAAACCCTCATGGATATACAAACTCCTAAATCATATGCTAAAATCTCGGAATCAATATGATCTCATTCCAAGTGATTGTATAACATATTTAGATCTCACTGTCCAAAAACCCCAAAAAGATTGAATTATTCTAAATATGTAACCACTCCATATAATTGCAAAAAAAAACTTCAATCTTTAGTTAAAAGAAATCACAAATGCTCTGTCTTGTCATCTACCCAGAATTCGTAACCATCTAACAATAAATGAAGCTAAAAAAAGTTGGTCAATAAATTAGTAACCCGAACATTTAGTTTATAGATTATAGGATTTAAATTTCCTACTTGTAATTACGATACCGCTACCAAACTATTATTTTTTATTATTATTATTATTAAATGTTTGATAGACAATTGAACGTTTTTAATAGCTTGAGTATAACACAGCTAGTTTAGATCGACTATTATAAACTCCGTCAATAAAAAAATATTTAAAATGTAAAATGGAAAACATTTTGGAAATTTGGGGAAATATTGTGGTTGTCTATATCCCACTTCGAAGTGGCGAAGTACCCAAGAAGATAAGTGGGGCATCCATTTTAATGCGATTATAAAAACAAACTATCATTATATGTATATGTATATGTATATATATATATATATATATATATATACACACGTGTGTGTGAGAAAGGCGAGTTGAGACAAGAATTGGGGCGGGATCGAGAATAGGGAATGTAACCTGTCTTCATTTAGTTACGTGTATTGGAGATACTTTTCCGTTATCTTTTAGTAATGTACACGATATCTATGTTTGCTAAGGCATTATGCTAGCCCTTGTTCTCTATGACATTTGGCAGCATGAGTGGGCCAACTCGACGAGTTAGGTTTAGGGGGTATGTGTACATGCTCGTTTACTGGGTCCATGTGTGTGTGAGTGAGCCGTGTGTATGAAAGTACTACACATCTAACTTTGCTCGGACTGGAATGTAGAGTCCAAGACCATGTTATGATCTTTTTATGCAAAGATAGGTCCCACCATAATTGTTTATGTTTGTATTTCTCCACCTCAACCATGGGAAATGAAGAACCCTCTTTGCTGCTCATCTTTTTCGTATTCGCATATTCTTTTGGTTTTCTTTTCGGTATATCGTTGTTTTCTTAATCAAAATATCATATCTATGAAGCTATCAAAGGGAGAGAAATGATAGTTTTACCTAATTGCTTATTCGAGGGTTGGAGTATTGGTTCTCGAGGTTGAAACTTCAATCATAAAGCCTTAAAGTATTCAAATTTTGAAGAGTTTTTGTTTTTGAGAAGTGTTCAATACCCAAAGATAGTCTTTAAGAAATGTTCGGTACCAAAGGACGAGTCTTCTAACCATTCTTGCATGAGTAGGTGAATCTTAAAAGAAGATAATTTGGCATGGAAATATGTTTCTTTTAACGTTGACCCCAATTGATATGCCAATTTAATCGGGTTCGGTTGAAAAAGTAAGAAGTTTGTGTTGGGGTCGCACAACAATGCACACCCGATCTAGATGAACACAAAGAACCGGATAGAGAAAAGTGTCAGGAGAACTCTGGCCAAAGAATTTATATTGATGACTTCATAATAGATAATATAGAGAATACAAAAAAGTGAACGTGATATATATAGTTCAATTTACTATATATAGCTTTACCAAATTTAACCATCTACTATATATAGCTATTTACTATATACAACATATTTAACCATCTACTATATATAGCTATGTACGGATATAACCGTTGACCAAACTATAAATAAGCAGCAGCATCCATAACTCAAGAGTTTGATCCATTATATTGGACTTCCTTTCATCTTGAGCGGTTTGAAACTAATTGTAGAATACATTTGTTAACGACTTCAAGCCGACATTTCAGCTAATCTGACATGGGTCTGATACGCATGGACCATTTTCTACTATTTTCAACTTTTCGGAAGCGTTTGAGGTTAGTATGACTATTTTTAGTTGAATTAGGTGACTCCAAGTAAGTGACTAGTGTTATGGTAGTATCAAGGGGTCGTAATAGCTTTGACCTAGGCTAACCAAGTAAGTGACTCTACTATCGGTTTGGTTGGAAGAATTGCTTTATATATGATGACACGCATCTAGTGGCACTACATGTGTGATATGTGTGATATGTTTTGATATGTCATATTATGTGTCGCTATATGATATGCCAAATAATGTTATGGTATAAATGAGATGTCATGTTATGTTATGTTATGAGATGTCGTGATGTACTATGATATGCTATGTAAGACCATAAGATGCAATGACATGATATGCTTCGAGGAAATTTATGATGCACACCCCCTATGTCATGATTGGAAAATTATATGAATTAAATGATTTTATAAGAGTTTATGTACCCATATTACAAAGGAGGGTTGTTTTACATGATTTATTACAATAGAAAATATGGGGACCTCGTTCTCGTGCATTGGGATACTTCTCTTTTATGATGAGTACAGACGCATACACTATGAGACTAAAATGATCATCATGTTTACCATAATGCTTCAACGGTCATTATTCCCTCCGAGTGTTCGGCAACAACCCAGAGAAGCTAGCTCAACTAACAGGCTAACAGGCTAACAGGGTGTGCTAGTCCGCTTGGTGGGCCCAATGCTTGCACATCATTATAGAATTGCTTTAAATTATAGGTCTCATCATTATGTATTATTTGCATTCCGTGACTCGAAGAGTGAAGTCAATTATTGAGTATTTATTAAAATTCTCGAGCCTTATGTTATTTACTTCAGGAAAAGACAATACATCCGTGATGTCGTGTTGAAGACCATAAAACTTGTGTTATGATAGTTGCATTTTATTTATTTTGTAGCTATTACCAACAAAGGTGCACCTTCGTTTTCGATGGCTCAATCATAAAAATTCCATGAGAATCAAATTTATAATTTAACAAAATAGGATTAAATTAAATTATTTTATAAAAGAAATAGAAAATAACTTATCCGAAGAAACGAAATAACATTATTTCTCGTGTGTATATTTGTTTCTCCTAGCAAAAACAGGAGCGATAATAAAAAATTTCACGATAATAAGAAAACCGCTTCATCACGCACGAATCATTGTAAATTATTTATAATTTCAAAAATCTCGATCATCGCACATTCAAGAAAGTCATAAATAAAAACTAAATTCACATTCGCATTTCACATAATAAATAATTAAAATAAATAGCCAAATGTTTTAAACGTGAATTAAAATACTGAATATATTCTATATATATATATATATATATATATATATTGTTTTTAGATTTTAAAAAAGACACGTGGTGGTAAAAAATAATCTTACTTTAAAAAAAAAACAAATAATAATTTAAAAAAGTTGAAAATACAAGTCCAAAATAGACACAGCCGGTGGGGCCGATCGACACCGCCAACCGCCGACCTGCAGCGGTGGTAACCTCCACAATTTCACGGGATTTTCGCCGGCCGTGAATGTTTGTTAGCGTTAAAACGGGGTTTCTTTTATTAAGACAAAAACGTTCCTATCTGTGGGTCCCCCGTTATAATTCAATGATTGAATCTTGGCCGTTGAATTCTTCATCACTATTGATCTGACGGCCTATGTTTAGACTCAAGGATCTATCTTGATAGGCATCTTTGACCATGTAGGGATCCTGTTTTCCTTTTTTTTTTTTTTTTTTTTTTNTGACCATGTAGGGATCCTGTTTTTTTTTTTTTTTTTTTTTTTTTTCATTTAAAGAAAATTAATTCAAAATATTATAATTTTCAAACTTTGACTGATTTTTCCTCGTTCAATACCTAGACGCTGTCGAAATTACCCTTCTACCCCTGCTTTTTTTTTAATAATAAATTATTCTTTTCTTTACAATTTTATTATGGTGTAAACGTCATTAAAGATTCTATATAAAATAAAACGACAATGTTAAATAAAAATTATTTATATGGTTCCACAAATCCTTTCAATACTTTTATTACCTTATTTAATTTTAAATAATTAATTATTGTAAGTTAATTTATTTTTATTAAATAAAATAATTAAAATAATTTTAACCAATTAAATTATAATTTAATTTTCATTCATTAATAAATATATTAAAAATAATATATCTTGAATTTATTTATTAATCCATTCTCATCATTATACTAAAATAACTATGGTAAATAATTAGTCTTATTATATTTTCAATAAATAAGTATTTACATTCCCTCCATAAATTTTTTATTTTTAGAAATGAATTAAGAAAATATTTTAATAAATTATAATGGATTTATTAAATTAAATAATTAATCTTGTTAATTTAATATCAATTCATCTAATAAAACCTCCCAAAAATATTTTTATGACGTAATAGTTCATAAAAAAATAAAAAAAATTGAATATTATAAATTAGACTGGTTCATGAATTCTTTTCCATTCAAATTATATATATATATATATATTTATTTATTTATTTATTTATTTTATGTCACAGTTACTTTTTATTATTTTTTTGTTGTAAAAATAAAATGAGTGGGGGATAAAAAGGTAATATGGCTTGGAATATGCTATTTATGGAGAACAATATTAAAAAAAAGATACTTTTTGTTAAATTCAATAATAAATCTGTTTGATTTGGTGAGAAGTTTGACCACTGTTCATTTTGTTGCGCCCTCTTCTTCCTCTTCTGTTGCTAACGAATTCTTAATCATTTCCTCTCTTTCACGGTTTTCTTCACTGTTTTTGCTCCCAATTCCTCTCAATATCTGAAACCCCAGTTCCCCATCCCCCTCCATCACGCAATCCACCGATCTCCTCACTCTTCACTTGCTTTCCTCCAGGTATTGATTGATGATCCATCCATTTTCTCTCTGAATTTGTTCCCGTTTTTCTTTTCAATTGATTTCATAGCTCCCTCACTGTTGAATCCTTTCTGGGTTGCCTTCATTTTTCTGATTCTGTTCTCTTGTTGGAAGATGAGAGTGCGATGGATTTTAATGATATGTTGTTGCTTGATTTTGTGTAATCGGATGAAATCGGTAATGAGTTTATCGCTGTGGACATTGAAGGTGTGGGAAAATTTATCAGTACTCTCAGAGCTTTTTCTTTATCGGATGATTTTAATTGGGTTAGAAGTTTGCGATGATTCTATTGGAAGTGATTTTTCTTGCCATTCTGAATTTGGCAACATCAATGAATTTTTTCAGCTCTGAGATTCGCCATTTAGTAATTTTCTGGAGGTGATGTTTCGATTTCTGGACCTGTTTTTGATGTTCTCATTGCTGATAGATGAATTTATGTTTAATGATTCATGGAGTTTATGAATTTCTTAGGATTTCGTCTTTGATTTGTATCCTGTGTGTGGAAGATTGCTAGTGAACAAACAGGGTGATCGAAGGTGTAGTTTATGATCCTTGAATTAAGTTCGTCAGTTTATGGTGAATTGTTGAATTTGAATGAACAACTTGATTATCTTTTGTGTCTTTTTGGGGGTTTTAAATTAGAACTTTCTTTTGACTTAGTTCTTATCTTTTCTTTTTGTAGTTGATTAAGTGTAAGAGGCTTGTTGGTATTACTACCATCTTGAAAAAAAGATGGGGTGTTTCACAGTTCTAAAGAACAAGAAGAAAAATCGTGCACGGTGTGTTCAGGGAAAACATGTTAAGTCTAGGGAGATCGTGCCAACTATGCTTCCCGAACCCCGCTCGTTGCAGTCTGCACCACCGAGTTTTAAGATCAGAGTGAAACCTGTTCAACCAGCTAATGGAGCTGCTGGAAGTAGAGTGCATACATTGTCTGCTCCATCAAATTTGTATGCAGCAGAACAGGACGCTTATTCATCAGTTGAGTACGACGAACTAGACGAGTCACCTGGCCGATTCGGATCGAAAGAACAGAGATCCCCGAGTCCTCAACCGCTGCCTCTTCCATCGCCCCAGGTTAGCTGGACTCTAAAGAATACTGGAAGCTTTAAATCAGTGATGTCATCTGGGCCTCTGTATGCCTCTGGACCTTTGCCACTACCACCGGTGGAAGTGGTCAGAAATTTTCCTTCAGAAGAAATATCGTCTGCTTGCCATAATTTTTCTGCTGAATACTGTGTGTCAGAGAGTCCTTCTTTTATATATAGGGCTACCTTTGGAGATGATGCTTCAACTCCAAAGAAGTTTGAAGCTGCTGTTACTTGCCGTAATCCATCCAATCAGGTAAGATATGAAGTCTGATAGGTTACTAGTGCACGTTTCGATTTTTAATGGTCTGTAGTGCATGAAGGAGCTTTTGGGGTTGCTTAGATTTGATGAGAATCCGTTTATCTGGCTTAATTCTTGTAGCAAGTATTGTACTCGTTCTTTCGTTATCGATGAACGCTTGGTTTCTTATTAAGAAAATGAAAAAACTGTTTATAGTCTCAGTATAGGAACTGAACCTTTTTTAAGGAATTTGTGAAGCAACTGGAAATTCTTATGCACTTGCTATTTATCACTGCAGGGTTATAAGGAATTTGTTTCTGAGGTTAATACTCTAGCATCTTTGCAACATCCAAACATTTGTAAATTGCTGGGCTTTCATACCCACGAGGGTTCGGGGCAGAGAATGCTCGTGTATGAGAGACTCTTTCATGGAAGCTTAGATCGTCTATTGTATGGGAGATCAGATGGGCCTCCCATTGACTGGATTACGAGAATGAAGATTGCATTATGCGCCGCACAGGGTCTCACTTTCTTGCACGAAGAGGGACCTTTTCAGGTGAGATAGCTCGTCGTTTAATATTTACTATAACGGACAGCCAATAGCTTTTAGCAGTCGTTTACCTAGAATTGTGTTCTTATTAATTGATTTTAGTTTTGAAACTTTTCAAATGATGAGGATAATTAGTAACATTCAAATGTAATTTTTATTTGCAGGCAATGTACAAAGAATTTTCAACTGCCAACATACAAATTGATAAGGATTTTAGCGCCAAGCTTTCTGGATATGGTTGTGTAGGACAAATTCCGACACCTGAGACAGAGATTTCTAACAATTCAGTGGTGAGTTCTTGATGCTTATATTCGCATTGAAACTCTTCCTTTGACTTTCGCCCCATGATTTTTGGTGGGGTACATGATATTATCCTGGCTTCCTTAAATGTGAAATCCCACACCGGTTGAGGAGGAGGATGAAACATTTTTTATAAGGGTGTGGAAACCTCTCCCTAGCAGACTGCTTTTTAAAATCCTTGAGGGAAAGCCCAAAAAGGACAATATCTGCTAGCGGTGGACTCGGGCGGTTACAAATGGTAACAGAGCCAGACACTGGACAGTGTGCTAGCGAGAATGCTGGGTCCCGAAGGGAGGGTGGATTGTGAGATTCCACATCGGTTGGAGAGAAGAACGAAGCACTCTTTATAAGGGTGTGGAAATCTCTCCCTTTGACGCTTTTTAAAAACTTTGAGGGGAAGGTCCAAAGGGAGAACTCAAATAGGATAATATCTGCTAGTAGTGGGTGTGGGCTTGGGCTTGATTGTTTTTCCTGTCTTTCCACATTCAGGCAGCAGCATATCTATCAATGGAGACATTGGAGAGAGGGCTACTTACACCAAAGAGCAACGTTTGGAGTTTTGGAATTGTTCTTCTAGAATTACTAACTGGGCGAAGAAATCTCGATTCTCATTACCCAAAAGAAGAGAGGAACTTAGTTAAGTGGACCAAACCGTTCCTTACCGATGATGGTCGATTGTCGTTGATCATGGATCCTCAACTAAAAGGGCGCTTCCCAACCAAAGCAGCCAGAACAGTGGCAGACATAGCTCAAAAATGTCTTCAAAAGGATCCCTCAGAAAGACCCACAATGAGACATGTAGTTGAACAGCTGAAGATCATCCAAAACTTAAAGCAATCAAGTCGATTCCCCTTGCAAGAACCCACTGGAAAACAGATGCTAAGATCACCAAGCCTTGATGGAATCATCATTACAGCACCAGCAGCAGCCAGACTAAGTTTCTCCCCTTCTCCACCTTCTGGAGTTCACCAATCCCTGTCACCTGGAGGTACAACTTCCATTCCTACACCTCCGCCCCAGCTATGTTCAACCCTCTCCTTTGAGGATGTCGATCGACAGGAAAGGCGAAAATCGTCAATGTCAGCCCTTCGAAGACCTCGAATCGAAGGATACTGATCTTTTGAATTGATTCAATTTGTTTATTATTTATTATATTTTCTTGCTTGTTTTCCTCTTGTCTTCTGGTGGTTGATTCAACTCAATGTACAGTACATGGAAAAAAAAATACATATATATATATATTTTCATCCTCATAGCTAGAGGAGAAATATATGCTTATTTTTGTGTAGATATGGTTCTATGAATGTCATTTAATGTAAATTTATACATCTTCTCGTTATACACTATTTGAGGGCAAGATAGTCATGATGTGATTGGGTCAAGATAGACAAATGTAATAGTGCATTATGGGCCAAGATAGACAAGTGTAATGGTGCATCATCTAACACGAAAGATGTGCATTGAAGCCAAATTGAAACATAAACAAGATAGAGGCAACAATGTTGACATAAGAGTCAAAGACAAGCTTGATAAGGGTTGGGTAAGACCCCAAGCCTTTAACCTCTGAAATCGTGGTTCCATTATGAGTTTGGGCATGCAACTCTAGAGTCAAGTCTTTCAATATGAAATGTGAATGCTCGCTAAATTTGGTGTGAATTAAATTCCTAATGGAAACTCCGAGATCGTATGACCATTCGTCAAAATCGTGTCTACTCACAAAAAAATGTCACACAATGTACCTTAGAGAGAGCCATGGTGTCAGCTCTCCACCACCCCTGGGCCATGTGGCCTAAGTAAGCTACCATGTGGCACATACGTGTGTCACAACATGAGCGAGCAATGCGAAATGAGTGTCTCGAGCGACTTCCTTTTCAAGGATAGTGACAGATGACATGGGTGTGCCAACATTGTGCCTCCACCTATGTATCACAAGGGTTCATGCCTCGATAAAACCCAGAGGGATGGATGGATGTTCAGGACGCCCTAATGATATGAACAACACATGGGCTATTCTTGATAGTATGTCCAAGGGAGCTATAATGATCGATAACATCTTAGAACGAGAGGCCTTTCAACTATAGAAGAATCGTTTATAAAGTTTGAACGAAATCAATTAGGATCATGTGTCATTCCTTGCTTGCCCTATCGAACCAAGTAAAGACCAACAAAATTTAAATATATACCACCATCATTAAAACTAAATTTTTGAAGGAGCATGCAAACTCTAACTTCAACTACCAGAGCGTACACAAACACGTCAACTAAGAACAATGATAAGGATTGCATCTCTAACTTCAAAGCATATACGGGTTGCCCTAGTTGCAAGAGGTTGGGTCCAACCAAAGAAGGTTGTTGAACTCGATTAGGACCCTTAATCTAGTTTGTCCATCAAAGATGGTCAGCCGGACTCGATTAGAACCCTTAAATGGGTTCAACTAGGTTCGAGAAGCCTTTCACAAAGGAACACCAAAAAAACATTTGATTGATAAGCACATGATTCTCCCCACCAATCCCAAAAGGCCAAAAGAGAAATAAAAACCAAAACTTCCTCATTGCTCCACCGTTCGTGGCACCATTCCACACAAAATCTCACCTTCCCTTCACTTCCCTTCCCTTCTCTAACCCCCATTTCTATAAAACCCTAACAACCCCTCTTCTCGTGTGCCTCGAATTACTCGCCATATCACCTCATCTCTGAACCCTTCTCCCTTTCCTTTTCTCCCTATTGCTCTGCTTCAGTTTCCGCTAATGGAGTCGCTTTTGGTTCTCAATCCCACCCCCTGCCCCGCCGATTCTTCCACTTTGAAGCTCAAGAACTCTGCTGCTTTCCCTGTCCGCTCCCGACCCTGTTCGTCTCTGCGGTTCGATCCTTTGATCAGTTATGGTGGTTGTAAGGTTTCCTTTGTCGCTAACACTCTTCCGCGTAATGGGTTTCTTTCCCCCCATCGGCGGTGTTCGTTGAACCGACGGGTTGTGGCGTTTGCGGCTTCCCATGAGGAGTCGGTATGCGGAATTCTGTTCTGTCATTGCGTTGAATTGTTAGTGATATTTGGGATTGGATTGAGGAATGTGGGATTCTGTGATTGTGATTGTGATTTTGACTGTGTAATTATTGAATGTCACTAGGACAATTTAGTAGCGGCTGAGAAATGTGGAATTTCTTTTGTTAAATGAAAATGTGACTAGGAGAATGAACAGATCCATGATCTAGTCATTCAATGTGTTATGGATTACACTATCGAGCAATTTAAGTTTTAAGAAGTTCATAAATATTTAAATTATTTGATCGCTATGACATGTGACAGGTCAATGATCCAGATATACATTGCCCGCCTTGTTGAATAATGATTATTTTTGTGGAACTCTAGGTTTTTAGCCATTAGGGTTTGAAAAATATGGACCTGTTTCATTTTATTTTTTGGAATGGAGACGAAATTCTTCAATTTCTGAATTTATATGGTGGTATAGTTGATTACATTCATTGCATTGAATGTAGATTGATATTCCCTTCTGTGTTTCTTATTTGGATTATTAGCATTCAGAGATTGAAGGGGAGAAAAACGAAAAGGATTTCAATTTTGATCAGGAAAAGGCACAAGAGTTGTGGAAAAATGCTTTAGATTCCTTCAAAGAACAAGCTCTGAAGATGAAAGCCATTTCAAAGGAGGCATACGGGGAATACTCTGTGAAAGCATTAGTTGCTTTGAATGAAACTTCCAAGCATTTGAAAATTCAAGCCGATAAGGCAAAGGAGGATTTGGCTTCAATAGTGCAAGAATTCAGTGAAGAAAGTAAAGAATATATTGCCACTGTTGCAGAGAATTACCCTGATGAAGTTAAGGAGATTGTGGAAACATTTACTTCTCCGGACGATGACTTACGGGATATTTCGAAAGTTAAGGACTTCTATTATGGGATACCATACGGTATGTATTACCATACTTTATGTAAGGTTAGAACGGAGTAGGGTCCTCTTTGCTTTAGTACGGCGATTTATTTCAGCTTCTACTTGAGCAATCCATCCAAGTCAATTTTGAGTTTTGAGGGAAAGAAACCTTCGATACAATAATTTGGAAGGATGTAATATCTGTATATTTTGCAACATTGCCTTTTCAAGATTCTATCTATGACGACTCGTTCTTGTGTCAATCATTTGCTGACTCGTTCTATTTCGAATGGTTTACAGGACTGGTCCTTTCTGTTGGTGGTTTCCTTTCCTTCATGGTAACGGGAAGTCTCGCTGCAATTAGATTTGGAATGATACTTGGTGGTGCTTTGTTGGCCTTGAGCGTTATGAGCTTGAAGTCATACAAAAGAGGAGAATCTCGTCCTCTTGCCCTGAAGGGGCAGGCAGGTCAGTCTGCCATTAATTCAATAGCATAGCATATTAAACATAAATGATTGTCGAGCCAACTATGGTCTACTTGTCAGGTATTTCCTGCTGTCTTGTCATGATCATGCTTTGTGAACTTCGCATGCTTCATATTCTATCATCTTAAGCTACTTTATCTTTGCTTATGAAATGTACAGCTTAGTCGGACAAGGAGGATGGTAGATTTGAGGATTATGAATTGTATCGAATTGTTTTGCTTTCTAGTCTTGCATCATCTGATCCGTCTTCTAGGGTTATATTATATTGTGAGGTTCCACATCAGTTGGAGAGGGGAACAAAGCACTCTTTATAAGGTGTAAAAACCTCTTCCTGCTAGACGCGTTTTAAAACCTTGAGGGAGGGGAACAAAACACTTTTTATAAGGGTGAGGAAACCTCTCCCTACCAAACGCGTTTTAAAACCTTGAGGGAGGGGAACAAAGCACTCTTTATAAAAGTGTGGTAACCTCTCCCTGCCAAACGCATTTTAAAACCTTGAGGGGAAGCCCGGAAGAGAGTCTAAAAGAGGGCAATATTTGCTAGTGGTGGGCTTGAGCTGCATGCATATGTCAATCAAACTTAAGTCATCTAATCAGATTTCTGGTCTTCCTCTTACTCATTTTTTAGATGAATTTTTAATCGTTTCAAGATTTTTTTGTAACAGTGATTGCAAGCATTCTATTTCTGAGAGAGTTGCGCTTGGTTTTTCAGGTGAGAACTCTAATACTAACTTAGTATAATCTTTATGTGGTGAATGATGTTCATGAAAAATTAGAACTTTGATCAAGTCGTCTGACAAAATTAGAGAACGCTTTTCTGATACTTTGTTTATGTGTTTCTTTCTGGATGCAGAGACCATCATTTTTCAGTCTTCTAACAACTTTGATCAGGTTATATCTTCTCTTCATTTTTTTTCATGTTTATTATTGCCTCTGCTGAATGGATGGCCAAAAAATAATATCTACTGTTATTATAACCTGTTGGCTGGAAAATATGTTAATCTGTTTGTTTGGCCCATTTGTTCTTCATTACTTTTTGCTTAGCATGTAGTGTAGAATCCTGAGGTTAAGCTCTTCATTTTTTATTTATTCAGCTCCAATCCTGAGCTTAGCATGTAGTGTAGAATCCTTAGGTTCACTAGTATTTTTAGTTAGTCTAGCCAACCTTATTGTTGTATCCACTTTGAAGGGTTTGTTGGTTTCGACTATTCCTTTCTATGCAGTGGAGCTATGGTCTCATTATACGTCTATAAGATTGCACTGGACGCTCGCCTCAAAAAAGGAGAAGATCTCAGGACAGAAACAGATTGAAAGCTAGTCGGGTGAGTTACCTTTTACGCGCACAGCACACATGGATACGCTCATCCTTGCATTCCATACTGATTGAAGTTTTGTTTCGACTTGTAGGAGAAAGCCTGCCAAATCTCCATATCATCACAATCTGAATTAGGTTATTGAAGAGAATAGTTTGGGAGTTGAGTAAAAATAAGCCTTGGAGGGTAATGGTATGGTAGAGTGTGTTCTCCAAGGAAGTAGACTATGAAGTTGGTTGAAAAAGGGGTATGGAAATCGGGTTATGATACAGTTTTGATGGTGTAGGTAGCTGCTGCCAAAACTTTGATCTGTTTTAGAGCATTAATTAAAGAAGTCATAGTTTTTCCTACTTTTGGGTTCATTTTTTTCTTTATTTTGAGCGCCGACAACAATGTGAAGGAGCCGTAGTTGTAATGTCGAAACTGAGTGAAAGATTTGCTGTCTAATCCCTTGAAAAACTGGCCCTTGCCAATGTCAGTGTAACTGAGATCTGGCGTTTCCAGGGTAATATGAATGTCTTTCAATCTTGTCGACATCAATTGTACTCGAATAATTGTCGAACTGTTGAGAGATAATCATGGCTTGATGGTCGTATACTAATTTT